TATAAAGAAAGATGGAATGGAGAAGAAAGTGAATATTTAGCTCAAAGACGAATCTTTCTTTTCTACTTTCGAACGACGGTGAATAAAATACGATAGAGAATAAGAAATACGATTTTTCGATGAAAATTGGTGTACAAAAACGGATGATGATCGAATAAAAGTTGCCTCGACAAGCCTCGATAGCGAAAAAAATTATCTTTGGTCAGAGAGATCTATCTCTTTCCTTTGCTTTTCTTCAAAATTTTCTCGCTTCTTCTTTAACCGTTTACACACGCCGTATCGACGCGTCGAATCGACGAAAGAGAAAAGAATACATTAAATATATACATATATACGCGTTTAAATAATTTTCTTTTTTAAATATCGCACCAATATAAAAAAATATTATTAAATACGAACACGATCGTCGAAAATCGTTCGAGAAGAAATATGTATATCGAATTTTCTTCTGAAACATGCAAAACCGAGAAGAGGAGAAAGAACCGAAAGCGATTCGCGTCAAGCGTAGCGGCTCTGTAAACGATTAAACTCTCTCTGCGTTCTCTAATCATTCACAGGCAATCCATTGTGTTCGTATCTGTGTGTACGTTATGTGTATTTGCGTGTGTTCGGTCATTAGGCGAAAGAAAAGAATAATTAATCGAAGGGGATAAAGAGAAAAGTGCGTGTGAAAACAAGAAGAAAAATGAAAAAGAAGAGAAAGAGAGAGAAAGAGAATTGTAGAGATAAATGAATCGTCAAAGAAACGTTGAATACTGTAATAGAGTAACTCGTCATTTTCCCTCGTGGTTTCGTTCGCTCGTGTGCTACGGCATGCTGACTAATCAAACGATTTTCTTTTTTCTTTTTTTTTTTTTTTGTTAGATTTCTCAATCCATCGAATCTTAAAGATTTCTTGCAGAGATTGTCGCCGTTCGAAGAAATGTCTTCGCTCAAGAAATGTTTCGATATCCATCAAACGAAACATTGAGGTATATGCGTCTTGAAAAAATTATTCGACAATTTCTTCAAAAAATCTTCTCGAAACGATGAGCGAAGAACGTGTAAAGCGAAGAACGAACGAAGAAAACGCTCGGTGGCGCCATCTCTAATCCCGTCTACGTCTAAAAGATCGTTTCTAGAAACGATCGACGCTCGCGAGACTCGCCCTTTGATTAAACTTTTCAAGTGATATGTGGGGACGTTGTTGAAAACGCGTCGCTGTTGGTCGAAAAGTCTAAAGGTGTGTATGTGTGTGTGCTTGTTCGCTGCTTCAATCGTAATTAATTAATTTCTCTTAATACCACTGTCGGATCCACCTGTCCTCCTCCACCTCTTTTCCTCTCTCTCGATCGCGAATCGGTCGCTGCACAACTCCGCGAGATTTACAAAAAAGAAAATTTGTTCCCTTTAAATCTACGATTGGACAGATATCGAATCGATTTCGCGTTAATTTCTCGGCCAATATGCGATCGAGAGAAACATGCGACCGACTCTCTTCCGTAGAAACGCAATTACTCCGAATCATATATACGAATATACGATAATTTTCAGAGCGCGCATATACACAATTACATAATTAAAGAGACACCGTTAATTTACAAACGCTACATGTATATCTCAGATGTTTTTTTCTTTTTTTTTTCTTTTTTATCTTTTTGTCGTTTTGCTCTCCCTTTTTGCTCTCTTTCGTGCAAATATCGATAATACAATCGCGCGCGCTCCGCTCCTCTCTCTTTTTCCTCGTAAAATGTATAGACGCTTTCGTATGTACGCGTGCGTACATACAAATATATATATATATATAATATTCATATATATAATATATATCAGCCCTTTTTTTTTGTTTCTCATCTCGATAATGCATATATGTGTTATACATCTATTTTATATATATAATATGCGATCACAGACACGTGTAATTCGCGTGTATAGAGTTTGCTTACTTTTTTTTTTTTTCCATTCTACTTCATCTTTTTTTTTTTCTTTTTGTGCCACACGTTCTCTTCCGTGTATACCTTAACGACTTAATATGGATTTGATTTGTTTAAACAGCCTCTCTATCCTTCTCGCACACTAACGCCGCGCGTGCGTTCTACTGTTTTTTTTTTTTATTTATTTTTTTCTAACCGTTTTTTGATGATCAGAAGGGGCGAACATATTTATCCTTATCAAATGTTTCTCTTTTATCTTCGCTTTGTATTCTTTTCCTACGAGCTCGTCGTTGTGATAAAACAACGTTACGCGAAAGGCATGAAAATTCGTTGATAAAACGCACGCGCGTAAGCGGACAATCGCTTTTCGAGTCTTCGTTCTCTTTTATTTCTTTTTTTTTTTGTTTGTTTGTTTGTTTGTTTTGTTTCACACTCGTTCGCCCCTTCGCTTGGTCCATGCCATTTATTTCTTTCGTTTACGTCGTTTAAAAAAACGATTCGACTCGCGAACGCTGCACCATCGTTATACCAAAAAAAAAAAGCGCGAGCAAGTTTAGCCGCACGTTTTAAGCTCGTCGAAGACGCCTGGTCTTCGGACAAAAAGGGACGAAGAAATTTTGTTTGAAATATTTGGTACAGCGCGCGCGACTCACGCGCGCTCCTACTATGTACTTCTTTTCTCCCTCTTTATCTTCTTTTTCTTCGTTCGATATTTCGCTCTAGAATGATACATTGTCGCAATATTTCAAGTTGGTGACAGTTGCGCCATGATCCATCGTAAATAAACACAGCCGATAGGCATTGCTTGTCTCTGCGCATGCGCGCATCCCAGCGGCCCGCCAAACTGCGGCGATTTGAAATTAACCGCGCCTCGAGGCCGCGCATGCGCTCGCGCGCAGATCGTCCTATGATCTAAAGACTTCATTTTTTTTATCACCTGTACTTCTCGACACACACGGATACGACGAAAACGAAGGTACACTTTTTTGTCATTTTTTTTTTTTATATTATAGCTTTCTCGTTATACGATAGTCAATGAAATTAAACGAGGTTAAAACATATATAATATGTACAGCGCAAAACGCGGCCATAGCGCGAAAGACAAACTGTTCCTCTTCCTTCCCCCCCCCCTTTCTTTTGCATTCTCGCTCATCCTCGTCTCTCGCACGTGCCTGACCGGACGCGATGAAACGAGGCCCGATTCGACAATTTGGCCATTCCCATAATTTGAAACACAGTGTACTAAATACATTTCTTAATTTAATCCTTACGATTAATTGCAGTGCCGTATCAGCAAATCGTCTCGATATACAAAGTGTCGCGAAAGATACTTCTCTCCCTTTCCCCTTTATCCTAAACTCCATGCTTCGCCCTCTAAACGCGTCGTGTTTAGTTAGTAATAAAACGTAGAAAAAGGAAAATGAAACATAGAAAAAGGCGCATAAAAAAAAAGGAGGAATCGCGCACATACTGCAATAATCATTATATATCCTCTATGGTACACGTGTGCGAGTGTCGTGAAACGGAAAGCGGGAAGGTACATCGTCGAAAAGCGTCTAGATATTTCCAACTCTATCAAAATATTGCTATGGTCGGGGAAGGGGTAAAAGCTTCAACAGATCTGAAACGATATAACGAAACGCGCAAATAACAGTCTACTACACAAGATATCTTCGCGAACATAGAAAAATACGAGTGTCTATTTACAAAACAAACGATAAACCTTT